CTGGCGATTAGCTTAGTTACGTAACTTGGATGAGAAGGGGGAGTAAATTCAGCGTATGCAAATCAATCAATGCGTTTGCAGAAGCTGTTTTTTTTCTAGTTTTATTGTGGATTAAATGTTGATATGCTCGCAGATTTAAAGAAACAACAGATACGGTTTTGGGCTGTATAAAGAAGTATTATTATTAGACTGGTGACCTTAGGAAAGAAAACGGTAGGAAAATTTGTTTTGTTATTTTTTCATTCTTCTCTGTCAACAAACAGAAGTTGCTATCTATAGAAAACGATAATCTCTGACCTTAAGCCTTATTCTTGTAGGCACTGCATACATAGTATGTGAGAAGAAGAAACGGAAGCTTTAGCAACGATTCGAGGATTCGTATTATGCCAAGGAGGAAAGAGGGGGGAAGAAAAAAAATAAATTAGTGGTTTTTATTTTAAGTTGCGTAGTTGTTTATTTGTAGGGCAAAAGTTGATGATTAAGCTGGCTATCTTTTGTTCTTTGTTTTCTTTTTTTTTTCTTTAGAAATCTTTAGGACAGGAACTTACTTATTCATCCAAGGAAGGGGTATCAAGTATCAGTAAAAATATAAACTCTCCCGTTACCACATTTCTTTAGTTGATCAAACACAATTTTATTTAGGCGTATAAAGCCTCTAATTAGATTTATGTTCTTCTTTGATTAAATTTACTTGTTTAAACCAGGACGGGATTTTTGTTTGATCAGAAATTAAACAAAAAGTTTTTTTTTTGGTTGCTTTAACAATATGTTAGCAACACTTTTGTTGGCACTTAGAGTTGGTTGTCTTTTTTCAGCGATTATTTTCATCTACCGTATCACAGCAATAATTTTTTTTTATCGACTCAGACGTTATTTTTGAAAGGGCTTCTCTGTTACAACGGTAAGCCTTTTCGAAAGTGGTCATATGCAGTAAAGAGATGTGACAAGTATATACTTCGTAGGCTGAAAGGGTACGCAGGGAATGTTTAAGCAACATTTGACCAGCATTTATTGATAGTGAAAGAAAGTGGAAAATTTTATAGATATGTGTAGTCATTACTTTGAATGGCTTAGGTTTATTGGTTAATTCGTTGATCTGCAGCTTTTGGTCTTTTTAAGCAACAGTTCATCCGTTTTATTGTTTCGTTACGATTATTCAGTAATTTACGATCAGTGTAAAATAAGGACGTGAAAATGAAGGACCTACACACTTCACCAATGGAACTGAATGAAAAAAAAAGTAGTTTTACATGTCTGATTACGTGTCTGCGGCAAGAAAAAAATTAGTTTTTTCGGAATATCGTTGACTATGGTTTATTACGGAGGATATTAAAAAATAAATTAAGTACAAAGAAGAATTTATATAATCTTTCGAGTAATGAGAAGGGAGAAAATTGATTTATTTTGGTTTCTTTTAAAAGAGTGGAATTTTTTTATTTTGTTACGATGTTTGGTTTTTTTTGATAAATAAGAAGTAGATAATGTTGATCTTTGGCAAAGCAACTTCTCTTTCGTCTTATTTCTTTTTATTTGCTGTTAAAATGTAGAAATAATTTATGACTAAAGATAAGTAAGAATCACCAGAATTACCTCCTTGGCTGCTTTCACTGATTATTTATATTTCCATCTTTCAAGGGTTTAAAATAAAAAGCAACAGCAGTGCTTATTTTGGCTGTCTTTATTGGAATGGGCTAAGATTACTTTCAAAACAGATAAGAAGAGAAAAAGGAGTTTAAAAATGCAATGGAACTAAAGGGGAATGAATGTGAAATCTGGCTAATAACTTTAGTAATTCGAACTTTTTGTTTGAGTGGAATTCCTAGGACGCGCACTTTCTTCTTTCCTTTCTTTCGGGGATTCAGTTTAGTTTGTCAGTACGATTTCTGATCTTAGAATCGGAGGAGAGGAAGGGGATAAGTATCGACTGCAGGAT